CTGAGACCAGGCAAGAGAATCATACCCTTCTGTCTCCTCCCGGCCATCCGGGGGTTCACCACCCTGCCTGGGATCTCAGCTCTCTGCCCCCACCCAGGTGTTTCCCAGCCTGAAACCTGACTTTGGTGTACCAGGCCCTGGAGACCCCTAGCCCCACCCACCCCTGCCATGAAGCCCCAGCCCATCTCCCATGAATCCCTTCTCAGGGTCTCCGTTCTCCCCATCAAGCAAAAAGCCTGGCCCTGCCCTCCTTTGCATTCGTTTATGGAGGAGCCCAGGAATGCCCCACACCTGTGGGGTCATAGCGCCTGCTTTTCTTGCCCCTCTGCCCTCCACACCCACTCCCCTGCCTCCAGTGGGGCCATGAAGAAGGCATGGTCCAGGCAGACCTGGGAGCTTCTGAGCCCTCGAGGTTCGGCTGGGGAGCCCCAGTGACAACCAAAGAGAAATTCTGCATCCAGAAGCATTTGGGGCTGAGAGAAACGCTCTTCTTTTTACCTCTTGGCTCTTACTTTGGAGCTTGCTGGGGAGTCCTGAGAGTCTAGCCTCCCACCCCACAAGCCACCTCCTCTCCTTCCCTCTCTTCTCCCTACCTGCCCCTTGCCTCCTCTCCTCTTCTGGCCCCAGCTTTTGATTCATTCATCTCCTTTTCCAGGAGGCCTTGGCCCCTCCTAGGCCCTGAGGTCCTCCAGGCCTGTGGGGGACGCGGAAAGGCTACTGACTCTCAGGCTGCAGGGAACTCAGACATATACTCAGCCCTGAAGTCCCAAAAGGGTGCTAATTGCTGCTTTTTTTCTGCCTATTTATTGGTTTCCAAGGGAGCAAGTCCTCAGTGGGGATACAAGATATATAAAATATATATATTATTTTTCATAACTTATGTGGCTTTTAACTTATTGCTTCCCTTCCTGTTTCTGCATAATCAGTGTAACATATTATACTATCTGAACAGAGAACACATATCCCAGCCACCCCATCTGACTGGCTGACTATTTAGGGGCAAAGCTCCTTCTCTCTGCCGAGGGATGAATAAAGTGCTGAGATTTGTTCATGGATAAAGCTATGTGTCTGTTTTTATCTCTCCTCTTGGTATTGGTCAGTCCCTGGTCAAACACTTTGACCACAGGACTTTGGGAATCCTCCAATTTTGGGGAAATTAGGCCAGAGACCTAGTTACACTTTCAGACCAATGCAACTAGAACATGAAAAGTTCTCCTGCCCCACTACGCTACAAGGAGACTGTACCAGTGTTGACCTGTGTTCCCAGTGCCTCCTGACATGCCCAGGCACCACGTGGACGCCTTAGCAGGCATAAACATGGGGATTCCCCCAAGTGGCGACAGGTTCTTTCTCAAGCACAACTGTGGGGGCTGGCACAGCCCAGAATATATTCTGACGAGTGCAGGCCTAATCCTGCCAAATCAAATTCCAAATTAACAAACAAGGATTGAGGGCATTCTCTAAGCCCAGCCCTGCGCTAGGACACCTACGATTGTTCCTCACCCCTCCACCTCAGGAAACCCACAGTCAGGTTGAGAGAGAAGCAACCTACTCGAGATAGCCATCCTGGACTTCCTAGCCAAGTGATGCAAGTCAGAGAAGAGAGGGGCTTGTGCAGGGAACCCAGGAATTGGAACAGGCTGCTTGGAAGAAGTGACTAGATAGACCGAAGGAAGAACAAGTGTCTCAAGGAAAGGAATCTTGAGGACAAAGAAGGGGCTTGAAGCACTGAGACCTCACACAAATGAGCCTCAGTTTCCTCACCTGTATAATGGAGCACACACCTTCCTTACTTACCTAATAGGGCATTTAGGAGTCTGGTGAGATAGCTGTGTTGATTCCTATCAGGAATACCACACCTCTTGCTTCTGACCCTCTGAACTGTAACAGCTCAACAAATGTAAAGGATTATTAGTGATGTATTATTGTTATTACAGCAGATGTTATGGATTAAAGACAACCCACTAGTCAAGAGACCAAATGCAGGCAAATGGGCCCCAGGCTAGCTCTCTCAAGACTCAGGAGAGACTGATAGATAAACCACATTGCCGTCCAGGAAGGGCCTGGGGCCAAGACCAGCTCTCTGCTTATTTTATGTTTGTTTCTGTTAATTTCTGAATTATGAATTCCTGAGTACTAATTTGAATCTCTGAATATGAAAATGAATTTCATAATCAAAAATATTTAACACATTTCTTATCGCCTGCCTTCTACTTTCTCTGAATTTATCATTTTTATCATTGTCCAACTTCTTGAGTTGAATGCTTTAATTTTCCATTTTTCTGCTTTTTCAATATAAGATTCTCTGAAGACCATAAATTTCCTTCTAAGTACCATTTTGACTGCCTCCTATCATCTTCTATGATAGTTTAATTAAAATGATTTTATTCTTTGACTTATAAGTTATTTAGAAATTCCTCCACATGTGCCTCATTCATGTCACAAGCACTTATTGAACACAAACGTAGTCTGTGCCTGGCCATGCTCTGAATGCGTAGGAAGACATTAAATTCCTCCAGCATTTATCTCTGTATCCCAGGCTCCCTAATCCTCTATGCTAGTCACCTACTTTTGTGCCTTCTATCCCCAGAAGACTCTAAACTCCTTGGGGGCAAGAATTGCACCCCATTATATCCCTAGGGACTTGCACAATGCTTGGCCCATAGTAGGTTTTCAATAAATGTAAAATTAATGAAAGAATGCATGAATGATGTACCTCCCCACCTGAGGTCTCCTAGCCTAAACGTCCTATAAAAGTGAAGGCAGTGTTATCCCCAGTGTTAACGCAATGCCTGACACATTGAAGAAGCACAGTCCGTGCATGCAGAATGGAAGGAAGGAAGGAAGGAAGGAAGGAAGGAAGGAAGGAAGGAAGGAAGGAAGGAAGAAAAGAAGGAAGGAAGGAAGGAAAGAAGGAAGGAAGGCTTTCTCTACCTAAACAAGGAAGCTCTCCTGCCCCTTTCCTATGGCATATCCTGAACAAGTCTCTGGAAGGCTTAGAGTCTGATTCCCACTCCTTGTGCAAGCTTCCTCCTTCCCACGCCTGCCCTCTGGAGTGATTCAGTAAACACCTGGCCAAGGGTGTCACCTCTGCTCTGAGTACAACAACAAAAATAAGCCCCTACCTGTGTTTGGTTTTTTTCTCTTTGATCCCTGGTCCTCCTGAGATGGGCAGGACAGCTGAAGCCAAGAGATGCCAAGTACTGTAACTGTGGTCACCCGGCAGGTAAGGGGAAGCATTTTGGTTCCACAGAACCATTTTTTACCTGCAGACTGCCTGCCATAGCAGCAGTAAAAATGACCAAACCCAGGAGTTGGTGTAGTGGAAACTGAAGGTCCCCACCTTCAAACGCAAAGGGCAGTGGGGCTGAGCAGGTACCCAATAGCTCATGCCGACCTGATTCCCCCAGGCTCAGCGTGGAAGACCAGGACTCAGAGGTTTTCAGGCCAGGGCTGGCAAGTCAGCACGCTGTGGCTCCAGAGAAACCTTCCTCTAAGAGCGTCCTGGGCCAAAGACCAAGGAAGTCCCTGTGTGCTGGTCTGACTGCACAGCCACGCCACGCCCCCTACCCCTTCTCCTGGTCTATTTGGGCCTGAGGACAGACAGCTAGAAGGGAGGTGGTCCCTGTGTTTGGGAAGCTCTGCAGGCTGATGTTGGGGAGAGACCCACATAAAAACAGAGACAGATAGAATCCGAGATACTTGGGCAGAGCTCAAGACCTCAGCACTGGGGCCTGCAGAGCAGCTGGGGGACTTCAGTCAAAGAGGGCTTCCTCAAGGAGGAGAGGGAGGAAGCTTGGAAGGAGGGGGTGTTAGGCTGGCAGAGAAGAAGGGAGTGGAAATGGCTTGGGGAAGGAGAGGGGAGCAGATTTGCTCCGCCTCCAGCCTGGGCAGAGAGCAGGCTGCAACATACCGGACTCGAGCAGAGGAAGCCTGAGTTGAGAATGAGGAAAACTATGGGAGCATGTGTTGTCATGTGTGGTAACCCCTAAGCCCCCACCAGGAGCTAAGCCAACCGCGCGCAGGGGCTATGTCTTATTCACTATGCACCCCACTCTCTAGCAGGAGGCCAAGCCTGCAGGGGGTGCTTACTAAATGCTAGATAAATGAAAGAAAGCATGAATGGCAGGTGATTGCAGCTACTGAAGGGTGAAAGCTGCACCCATTATGAAGGATTTGGGGGGCATCCGCTCTGTGCTGCACCCTCTGCTAGTCACAATGGGGAGGCAGGAGGGAATAAATGGTACAATGGGGTCCTTGCTCTCAAGGGGTTCTGGCTTCTGGCCGGGATCCAGCTCATGGTCCCCTGCTAGGCTGAAGTCACCTCTGTTATGGTGGGCCATGTGCTCTCTGTGGGACCTTGGGCAAGGTATGTCCCCTCTCTACAGTTGTTTCTTCATC